CCACTGCACTCTACCCAGGGCGACAGAGCATGACTCTGTCTCAAAATAAATAAATGAATAAAATAAAATTGAATTAAATAAATAAACTTCTCCAATAGATCATTGTTTCAGACCCTTGTTTCAAAGCTGGTGATATTCCTAAGTGAACTTGAACATGGTTCCATTTCTAGACTGAGTTCCAGCAATCTGCTTCAAACGCTATTGAATAAAGCACAGGATTTGCAGACCAACAGATGATAAACAGAGTTACAAAGAGCAATGAGCTTACTAAGCTCTGGTTAGGAACAAGGAACAGTGGTGGGGACCAAATGACTGAGAAAAATAAGAGGCCATAAAGCAGCGGAGCAATAGCTGTGGGCTTTGAATCAGACCAGTCTGGGTTCCAATTCCCATTCTACAGTCTGCTAGATGGTAACCGCGGGCAAGATCCTTAACCTCTCTGTGCCTCAGCTGGCCCCCGGTAGCCTGGGGTTAGCAACAGTGCCCACCTCGTGGGGTTGTAAGCAGGTGAATGAGCTCGATCTGTACACGCATTTAGCTCTGAGTCTGGCACTCAGGAAATGTTAGCTCTGGTTATGTTAACTTTCATTCTCAGCTGCAAAGCCTCATATACACTTACAAATGAAAATACTCAGAATGAAAGAATGGCCCTAAATGATATAATTTAAGTGAGCAGCGTCGGTCACAAAAGATGCAAAACTTTAGGAGTATAAGACAACCCTTCATCTGAGAATGGCACAAGGTCTCACGGGAGAGGTGAGACTGAAGCAGATGGGGTCTTGCGGGATGTGGATGCAAACAGGTCCCCTCTGGTGGGCACTTACCATTAGCCAAACACTGTGGGGCACCTGGTATGTAATCTTCACAACAAATTACAAGGCAGACACCTTTAAAAGCCCATTTTATAAGTGAGATGCTGTTTTACTGATGAAATAGCTCAGACTCAAAGAGGTTTAGTAATGTCACCCAACTGGTGGCAGATACAGGTTCAAACTCAGGTCTGTCTGACACCAAAGCCCATGCCCCCACCACTGTGCTGTTGGGGGATGGAGAGGGCTGGACAGAGGGAGAAGGGCCCAGGGGGGAAATAAATCATTCCTGTATGAGGCAGGGAAGAACAGAGTAATCATATTATATGGCAAGCAGGAAATAGACAATTAATGATTTTTTTAAAAAAGGAAAACAGGGTAGAATGGTAGGTTAGGGATAAAGAGAACAGAAAGCTAAGGAGTCTGGACTTGTACCTGTGGGCAATGATGAATCGTTTTGTTTTGGGGGTGTATGTGTTTAATTAAATACTACCACGACCACAACTAAGAACATTTACTGAGTACCAACTAAAGGATAGGCCCCACACTAAACCCTTTGCATACATTATTTCTAGTAGTTACAACAACTCTATAATTTAGGTATTGTCACCCCCATTTCACAAATAAACGAGGCCCTGAAAGGTCAAGCCACTCACATAGATACCTCCAGTAAATGGCAGAATGGAGTTCGGACCCATGTGTGCATAATGTCAAAGTCAGTGCTCTTTCCCCTAAAATAGCACTGGGGATAAACCTTCCTTGCAATCGAGAGCCAAAAAACAAGAGAGAAGAAAATGGAGACAGGGCACTAGTCGAAAGCAATACGTAGAGGGACCAGGGTGAAGACATAAATGTCTCAACTGGAGTCACTGTGAAAATGGAAGTGAGGTGACAGAGAATGAACATGTTCATGACCTTTTATTTCATTTACTCCCTTTCTGTGTCATGTTCTGCTACCTAAACTAGAAACCAAGTTAGTAATTATTCCAGTCCTTGCCCTCAGCCCTGATTTGAGTCCTGTTGTTAGTCCAAGAGCAAATATTGCTGTATTTCCTTGCCCCATCACAATGTTATCAAGGCTAAAATATGGCATCATCCTCTAATCTGTTATCTGTATTGAAAGGTAATCATTCAAGAGAATAAAACTAAGCCTCCACATCTAATAAATCACATTATACTTCACATACCAACATTTTAAAAAATCTGACTTAAACACATAGCCTGTCAAAGCAAGAGGACGCATATGCTGAGCTCTAATGAGCTCTGCCAAATCCTACGTTATTATTAAGGTTCATCATGATCTCAGTGATCACATGGTTTTATTAAATGGAGTGTGTTATCAGTATTTGTTGGGCTATTTTCTAGTTAACATTCTAGGCAAAGCAGCACAAAAATTAAAGCCGTAGAAAATGAATGCATGTGAATATACCTTTCAAACTAATGCAAAAGCTCAGTACCAAGTAGACAGTTACTTATACTGTCTCACTTGATGGTATCAAGAGTTAGAAGTTTTAATATTCATGTAATGATTCAAAAAAACCAAATATTTTTGCATGAAAACCTTAGCTATAGTTCCCCCATTCAATGACAAACTTTAATATTTCAAGTGGAAAAACAGTAGTATACTGGGATATACAAAAATGAGTTGAAATTTATAAAGATAAAAGATTGTGCATTGCGACTTGTGCACTGCCTTCCCCAGGAAAAGATATTTACATATATAAGATAAAGCAAGCTAACAGCATAAATATTATGGTTTTATAGCTCTTAATTTCAAAATGATCTGTGGTTTGTATCTTTTAATTCATTGGACTTAATTTTATTCCTATGTACAAAGATAGGATGGATGTTGAAGAACTCTGTTCGTCTGTACGTACTCAGACCCAACCAAATATTGTGAAGAATTATGAATAAAGTGCTTTCTCTGAAATCAGGCTTACTACTATGTCACCATTCAGAGATAACTACCTTAATAAATAGACCGGAAGCTAAACCATCTTTTTATTTCTCTTTTCATCAGTTGAGGTCCCTGCAAACCCAGCTATGCAAATAACTTCCTTCACCTTTTCTTCAAATCTGAGTGTTTCTTTAACCACCCAAGCCAGATATCATAACATCCCCCTCACCCAGCTGCCTGTCATAACAACGGTTTACTGCAACTCCACCCTTTTCCCACCTTCGGCTTCAACAGTGCATTTGATTTTTTTCCCCTGCATTAGAGGAAAAATTAGGATTAAGAGGTCAAAGCGTCCAAGTGGTTTCAATGAACTGCCACATTAATATTATTTAACCCCAGGGAATTTTCTGTTTAATTGCCACTCTCTCCCTTCCCCCAAAGGACTACATCTTATTTTGATGTTGTAATGGAAAGCACTGCATTAAGACAGAGTAAAAACATAATGGGTTTAAATTTTTAAACATCTAACCTTTTCATGAGTCATTGTTAATCATTTGCACCTGTAACTTTAATAATCCACCTGGCAACCAGAGAAGCAAAATCTGCAGGACGCGACTAGGTAAGGATGCTCCATTCGCAACTGTGACCACATCAGGGAGGGAAGAAAAAAAGCTATTTTGTCATAAGTGACCTGAAGAAAGTTTTACATGTAAGTTCCACCAAATCTTGAGAACATTAGAGCTCCCAGTACTTAAAATCTTCATCTTTTAAAAGTCAAGATTTTTTTTAAATGTCTTACTGTATTTATGAGTATTAAGTTCTAATCTTCTGTAACAATTTTTTGACTTTAGGTCTCAGGAAAAAAAAATGCTCTGGAATATAAGCACAACTTCAGGAGGGATAAAAAGTGCTAATTTTTAAAATCATTCTCCCCACCGAAAAATTAGGCCCATTGACATTACACCACTTAACCATTTATTCCATTGTGAAAGGCAAACTTAGAGCAAAAGTGGCAATATTCTGAAAATGTGATGGAAGTTGTTCTTCATCAATGAAACACACAAGTTTGGAAGGTACAAATATGGTCTCTGTCAGCCGTAGTTCACCCTCAGCAAGTCATTTTCCCTGTAGGCTGAGGCTCCCACATCATGAAAATCTTCCTTAACTGCTGAAAGCTGAAAGGAATTCCCTGTGAACAGCATCTGGACCACACGTTGTTTGGTCACACAAGAGACTGACAAGGGCTGGAGGAAAATGTGTCTGGTCCAAAGACAAGAGGATAGGGCCAAGAATCAAAATATGCTCCCCATCAATTTAACAGGGAGGGCCCCTAAAATGGCTATTCCACCAACTGAGTTCTCCTATCAGTGAGTCCTGGACCATCCGCTACCAGATGTTGGTCATTCTGTGGGCTGGCTGGTAGGATTTTGCGGTCCAACAACTGCCAGCCTTTTATCAGTCTCAAGGATATTGTGGAAACATCCATTTAGTGTATAAATATGCTTTTGGCATTAAAGCACTGCCAAGTGAAATATTAGAGAACAAACTCCCCACCCACTGCTGAAATTTCCCAGGTCCAAAGCAGCTGGGATGAAGATTCTAAATTACCTGTAGCAAAATTTCTTTTAGATTTTTTTTTAATCCTCTTGCTTACTGAGAAACCCATTGGGGAGTCTCCCAAAGATGATACCCACCCTTCAAGCTATTAGTCCTATCATTCACCCAGTTAGAGAAGGAAGCAGAAGTGTTGTATAGTTACCCAGGCTCCTTCCACTTGTAGCAGGAATGAACACTAAAAAAGCATCAGAACACTCAACTCCTTAGAGATTTAAAAGCCTTCCAGAGGGATAGAGACCTCTCTCTCCTCACCTGCACCCCCCACTCTGTTTCTGCCCTAGCCTAGAACCAGCAGCCCTTCTGTAATTCCATGCGGTTCTAGAGAGAATCCTTTATTCCACGGGGCTCCCGGATCTGACCCCGGGAAAGCCCAGCTGGCCACCCTTCTCCCACCCTTCCAACCTCCGCACCCAACCCCTTCCCACCGCCCCAGCCCACCCCCTTACCTGATAATGTCGTCGTTGTGTCCCAAGAAGAATTTTTGGCCGTGCTCGCGGGTGTTGTAAACCACCCCGACCCCAGCCACAAAGTAGACCACCTCCTTGCCGGCCGTGTAGTACAGGTTGTTGCGGCACTGGTGACCCCGGTACCCGTACACCCACTCCAGCCGGAGCCGGCAGCCGGGAGCTGTCCGATCCGCCATGATAAGCCGACCCCACTCGCCCCCCCGCCCCCCGCGCGGGCCGGCTGCCCCTGCGCGCCGGGTCTCTCTTCGCCAAGGCTCGGGCTGCGGCGGACCTGCAAGGGCTCAGTGTGCAGCGCCGGGCGCTGATTTCCGCGGCGACGCACAGGCACAGCCCAGCGCGCCGGCCGCCACCATCATCCACCGCCGCCGCCGCAGACGAGCCGCCGCCGGTGCGCGGCCCCAGACCCCGCCGGGCGCCCCGGCTCCCTCTCCCGCGGCGAGGCGGCTTCGGGGGCGCCAGCACTCGCGCGCGCGCGCCTCACTGCACCTGCGGGCTTCGGCCCCCGGGAGAGGTTCTCCTGGGGGTCACCCCGCCTTTTAAATCAGGGATCTGCATATCCAAACACTGATTACCCAGTTCGCTCACTTAAGTTTGCAGTGCGCGGGGCTTCGCAGCAGGCAGCGGGATTTATTCTGCGATAGCTCTGAGTTGACAGGCAACCCGGGTAAGCTTTGCCATCACCGTCCTTGGATCCGAAACTGACAGTCTATATCCAGGATGCGAAAGCGAGGAAGAAAGAAACAGATTTTTTGCATAAGTCACTTAACCCAAGAAAATGATCCCCAAACTAAACCAAGTTTGGTGTTTGGGTTTTTAATTGTCAACTACTCTCCCTTTCTCCCTCCAATTCCGTCCCCTTAATGGCATGAAATATGCCCTAAATGCTGCAGGCTGATAGTTGCTGATATGATCTGAAAGCACATTTGCTGTTTCCCCATTAAGCCAGGGCGAGTATGCAGTGGTCACTTTTTAGATGCCCCAATTAGTTGTCATGTATGTGTTTAAAATTCGTATCTTCCGTAAACCTTCTCTTCACCGAGAAAGCCGTAAGGAACTTAGTAGCTCTCACTGATCAGCAACTCCAATCGCAAGCGTCATAAAAGATTTTCTAAATCGGAAAAAAACACTAGACACTAGTGCAGTTGGAGGGAAGAGAGCGCTACCTACAAATGCTCCCGGTCCAGAAAAAATTAAATAATTAATAAGTGGCAAAAATCGTGTACCTCTCTCCAGGAAGGTCTGCGCTAAACACCGGGTACTGCCTTTAGCCCGGCGGGGGACGGGGTCGCCCGGGGGACACGAGGGACAAACCCCCCCCCCACACACACACGCACACACATCCCGGCGTCAGCGTCGCGGTCTGAGGAATGCTCCCGCAGGGACACCTCGCCCGCGCGCACCGCCGCCCTGGTGGCGTCCTGCACTGCTCCCACTCGGATCCAGCCTCGCCCGCGGAGCATCCCCGCTCTCTCTGCTTCTAACCTCTGCCGCCGGCGGACGCCAGCGCCGCGTCCCGGATCCCGCACGGGCGAGCGAGATCCTCTGCCTGACCTCCCCTCCCCGCCTCCCGCACCCGGGGATGGGCTTCGTCACTGGGGCGCCACGGGAGACAGGTTCTTCTTCCAGCCGGGGCTCCGGGGGCGGAGCCCCAGAGCGGCTTTCGGGAATCGCGGCGGCCGGTTACTAGGCGAGATCGCGGCGCTAGGAAACCTCGACGCCGGAGGGGGCTGGGACGGCCCCGTCCCGCTCCTAGCCTTGGTCGCCCCTTCCCCCGATGCATCCTGGGAATTGTAGTCCTCTTTGAATCAGCCAGAGCGGGGAGCGCAGGGAACGGACCACAAGTCACAGGATTCCGCGCGCCCCAAGGGAGTCGCAGAGAGGCCGGGCTTCATCAGAGCCTGCGGCTCTCCCAGTGAGGAGGAGGCAGCGGCTCACCAAAGGCTACCGCGTGCCAGCGCTGGCGTTCCCTGGTGACTGAAGGGGGCGGCTGGCGTGCGCGTGTCCCTGTGGAGAAGAGCAGTAGAGTGGAGACTATCTCTACGGTTCACCCTAAGCATTTTCCTGCACCCTTCCCTGAGGATTCCTGTAGCCGCATCCTCACTATACTGTAGCAGACTCAAGCTCGAGTTTTGTTTTCTACTTCAGTTTTCCTTTTTTATTCAAATGAATTCTAATTTGTTAAAAGTGCAGTACTGCCAAGTTTAAGAAAAATGCTGCGAGTGTTGTCTCACTCTGCCCTAAGAACAACCAGTGCCTTCCCATCACTTGCGTCCAAAGGTAAAAGACTTGGGTATTTAAAGATAACCAGATTTTGGAAGCGGGAAGGTGCTTGCGCCATAATAACTAGACTTGGCCCTCAAACGCAAAAGCCTGTGGCATTTCTCCTACAACCCCCCAAGGTAAACTATGAATCCACTATGTTCTGAAGTAGCCTATTTTCAAATTGGGGCCAGAGATGGCCTTTGGGAAGAGGAGATTTCAAAATCCCAGTGACTAAGAAGCTGCAAAAGGATGATGGATTGGACGTTTGCAACGTCCTTTCCTTTCCATGCTATTTGATGGCTTACTCAGTTCTTCATCTATCTCAAGCTTTTATACAGTCCTCTGAAGATTAGAAGCGCCAGAGTTTGGATGAGCTGTTGTTGCCTGCAGCAATGAAGAAGATTTGAATTCATCTCATCTTTTTTTTTAAGGAAACAATCTACAAATATGTGAGGTAACACTGTGCTAGGCAACAAGAACACTATCAAAAATAAAAACAAAAACATGGCCTGAAAAAGGTTTGAAACGTAAGCAAAAATAATGATGACTAATGATGTTTTGCTATAAAACAATGCCAAATGAATTATATACAGATAGTAAGTTCTACATAAGAAATTCAGAAAAGAAAGAACTTTTCCAGATAAAATACACCAGGAAAAGCTTCATGGAGGAAATAGGAAATATAGATAGAATTGAGATAAGTTAAGATAAATTGAAAGAGCATTCTGGGACCCCGGCGCGGTGCCTCACGCCTGTAATCCTAGCTCTCTGGGAGGCCGAGGCGGGCGGATTGTTTGAGCTCAGGAGTTCGAAACCAGCCTAAGCAAGAGCGAGACCCCGTCTCTACTAAAAATAGAAAGAAATTAATTGGACAACTAAAAATATACCGAAAAAAATTAGCTGGGCATGGTGGCGCATGCCTGTAGTCCCAGGTACTCGGGAGGCTGAGGCAGAAGGATTGCTTGAGCCCAGGAGTTTGAGGTTGCTGTGAGCTAGGATGATGCCACGGCACTCTAGCCAGGGCAACACAGTGAGACTCTGTCTCAAAAAAAAAAAAAAAAAGAGCATTCTGTATAGATCTAGGGAATAAACAAAAGGGTAGATACAGAAAAACATAGATTTAGAGAACACTGAAGAGAATACCCAATTTGGTGCAAAAGAAAATTCATGTACAATGAGAAGGGGACTTAAACCTGAAAGGTTAGAATGTAGATGGAGCTGAACCTAGAGGTTTGCACTATCATCCTTAAAATAGTGGAGAATCATTGAATTGTTTTGAAGAGGGGAATAACAATAAAAACAGCAGTAATGAAAGTATGAGGTATTAGAGACCTGAGGTAGTGCTTGCAGTACTACATTAGAGATAGTGGCAATCGTCCAGAAAGGAAGGGACACATTCCAGAGAAAATGTAAAAGTATGTTGAAAGAAATGTCCTAAACAAATAGAAATGGATGGAACATGTTCATTTCCTAAGTTATCTTTAGTGTAACTAATGACCACCAGGCTATCCCAGATTGTTAAATGAATTGGAGGAATAATTTCTGGATCTGCCATTTAAAATCATAACCTTAATAATGTCATCTGCAGTAACATGGATGGATCTGGAGACCATTATCCCAAGTGAAGTATCTCAGGAATGGAAAGCCAAACACCATATGTTCTCACTAACAAGTGAAAGCTAAACAGTGAGTACACACGGGCACAAAAACATACAAAGGACATTGGAAACCAAGAAAGGGGAAGGAGAGGGGTGAGAGATAAAAACTTACATGTTGGGTACAATGAACACTGTACTGGTGATGGGCACACCAAAAGCCCTGACTTACACATTATACAAGATATCCATGTAGTAAAAACACTTGTACCCCTTAATTAATATTTTGAAATAAAAAAAATTATAACCTTAGGCAAATCACTAAATAGTCTGATCTTTTTTTCAGTCTCCTCACTTAATAAAGTATAACAATACTTATCTCACAGGATAATAGTAAGAATGAAACAAAATAATACACATGTAAAAAGTTAATTTGTAAAGCACTATATAAATGTTAATTATTACTATATGGCAGTATATATTAACTTCTACTTGAAAGTGTGAAATAAGGCTTGGTAATATCCTTTAGAAACAAGCAGTCTAGAAAACCATGCATAAGACTCATATGATACAATAACACTATGATATAATGAAAAGCATTTACTATGTTCCAGGCACTATAAATGGTGCTTTCCATGTATTAAATAATTTAATATTCATCTCAGTAATAATCCTATGTAGTTACTATTATTTCCTCATACAGGTAAGGAAACCAAGGTAAAGAAAGTTTAAGTAACTTTCCCAAGGATGCACAAAGTAGTGACAAAGCCTGGATTTGAACTCAGGCAGTCTGGCTCCAGACTGCTCTTAACCACTAAGAATTATTAAGGAAATTGGTTAGATGTTAGAGTAGGTTCACCTGTGAGTGACAAACCCAAAATAACAGTGATTTAAACTTCATAGAACTTTATTTCTCACAAAAACCTGGAGGTAGTACAAGCCTAGTATGATGGCTCTGCTTAAAGGGATCCTTGAGTACTCAGGCTGCTCCTGGTATGCCAGCATTTTGCTCTAGACCTCATGGTCCAAGATGGAGCACCATCCATCACATATGCAATTCCAAGTACATTTCAGGGAACAAGAGAAGCTGCATGGGGCACATGTTGACTGCCTTTAAAAGGAAGGTTCTCGAAAGCTACCCTAAGTCTCTTCTGTTTATATGCTATTGGTCTGGACATGGCCATACCTAGCTGCAAGGAGATCTAGAAACTAGTTTTTATTCTGGGCAGTCATGTGCCTTGCTAAAAATAGGGGATACTTATACTATGGGAAAAGGAGAAAGGGCGTTTTGCATCTCTTATTTCTTTTAATCCTTGCAA